AGAGCGCAGAAGAATCCGGTACTTGAGATGGAGCTCTATGCGGTCTGGAGAGGACTAAAGGCGTGTCGGCACTATTTCCATGACTGAGGTTTGACTGTTTAAACAGACCACCAATCTCTTCCACAGCAGATGAACACTTTTCAAAACAAGGATATTCCGTCACGACTTCGGTGACGGAGGAGTTGTTTGATTGTACTCTTGTTACATCTTATTCATTCACGCAGTTGCTGTTATTGGAAACTTCAACAATGGATGACGGGTTGATCACTACAGCATAGGCGGCAATCTCTGGTGGTAGTATATGAAGGGTATGTTCCGTCGATTGTACGATCGAGCCCCGCATCGCCTGCACACTTTTGATCACAGTGCACGACCTTGCTTTGTTGGAGTCAACATAGCAGTAGAGCGGGTGGCCAGCTCTTTTTGATGGCATATTGTGGGCTCCTCTTCGGAGAAATTTCTCTTTGCTTGTCTGAAATGTAAGCGGATGCATCCGCGGAACACTCTCAGGCCTGGGGTACTGTGGTTGCCACACCAGCATCAGAAACTACCCTTGCAGGTGGAAGAGCGGCAGCAGGAGGAGATAAACCGAAGGAGCAAGAAGATAAACAGAAGCAACAATCTGCAGCACCATCCACAGGAATCCCAACAGCAAGAGATGCAGCAGTAACGTAGCAGCAGCGGGTGAAAGAGGAGGAATCGATGGAATAGCAGAAACAGCAACGCTGCAGCTTCCGGAAAGCTGGGAAAAGCCCTCAGCCCGGTCTACGCATTCTTTGCTGGGAGATCATTTACACTGGGGCCTGTGCTGTTTGAGGAGAGAGGTGAGGGCAGAGGCAGCACGGTCCGTCTGAAATCGGAACATATCTCCTGCTTGAGTGGAGGCTGGCGACCGAGGGCCAAGTAAGCCAAACAAGCTTTTAACGAATCTCGGCACTGATGACGCGCGCATGAAGGGGGCATGGGCACTCTTGCATGTGGTGTTGCTTTGCAGCAGGAGTTGCAGCAAAAAGGTGTGTTGCAGCACACGGCTGGGCACCTTTTCGCTGCTGCTCTACTCATTTGGGCCGCCTTGCCCAGGGAACCTAACAGAAGGAGAGGAAGCCAGATGCCTTTTTAAAGGCTAGTCTTGACTCTTTTACAGCTAACAAAGGTCTCCTGCTGCCATCAACAGCAATTACCTGCACCAGGGCCAAGTGCACCAAGTCTGTGGCTTGTAGTCAGGAGATTACCGTCTGCATGAGAAGGCTGAACGTGTTTGAGATGTTTTTTGGCGTGTGTACAGCTGAAGAGATTCCGATGCATTTGTCCTCGGTGCTCGCGCGCCGAGTGTAAGGCCTGCTGAAGGAATTCCCCCGAATATGGGCCAACTAATGGCCGCTTCACATCCTGTTACATTGTTGATTGAATTTAAAATAGAACAATTATTTAATTTACTTCTCTGAGGCATCACTCGTTACTTTGCGCCCGTTAGCCGACAACGGAACAGCTTGCGTAGCGGCTGAAACCGACAACTGCGTCGTGGCTTACTGCTAAAAAAAGAGATCAGCTCGCATCTTCTATACTACCAAACACCGCTGCATTTTATTTTAAATTAAACAAGAAAAAATTAAGAAGAAGTACTCCGATGGCCTGAGGCTCCTGTTAGCTGCCGAGTGCTGCGTCCACTGGGCACGCGCACGCCCTTGGCTTCCTACTACCCATGCATTGCTTCTTTTCTTTGTCTGCTGAATATGCATATAATATTTGTACAAATTAAAGGGAATTTCACTCTCTTTGTATTCAGTCTAAGCCACTTTGCTGCAAAACGAAGGGGGCTCTACGCGCAGGGGTCCCCGCTAACTTGGGCGGGGTAGGAGCGAGAGGAGGCTTGTACATTTTGGTTCCTTCTTTTTGTGTGTCTATACCTTCAAAGGAATATTCAAGCTACAGTCACACAAGCCCATCACAAACAACATTGCATTCGGTGGATCCCGAGCTCCTCGCTGCTGCCGCTCGATAGTTGCTTACTGCCTGATGGTGCTGCAGCCATCGTACCTCTTCTAGTACACACAGCTTTGTGAACTGATACAGCAAACAAATTAAGACAACTGGAGGTCAAGGAGAGATCAACTCCGTCCCAGAGTTGGAAGCAACACCAGCGGCGAGGCGTGCACGAAGTGGCAGGAGAGGTTCGCTGCCTTTGAAGGGGTCTTTTTCCCGTTCTTCTTTTGCATTTCGAATAATCACATTAATAGCATCAATGCCTACCCATAGGCTCAGCAGCGGATACAGCGGGTATTTACCCGGTGGTGCTGCTGCCGATGAGGACCAGCAGCAGCAGCCTGCGCGTAGCGACACATTTTACGGCCGTCTCGGCTCGACTTCGAAGGAGAAAAGCCATGAGATGACTCCAACGAGGCGTGGTGAGGTGTTGCAGCAGAAATACGCATGCATGCAGTATATCTTGTTATGTTTACTAACGCATATACCGGAGCCCTTGAACGAACTGTTGTGTGCTGCCTGGGTGCTTCGCCTGCAGTCTCCTTCTCGCAGCTTTCTTCTCTTCGGAAAATTTGTGTCCGACTTTCCTTCGATGAAGACGCGTACCCAGGAGGGATTGACATTGGTGAGGCTGAGGGAATATGGCTTAGAGCTTAGGGGTTGGAGCCTGGCAAAATAGCTTGGTGCTCCCTAGTAATTGTCACTGCATGCATGCATTCATCATTCAAGCCTTTCCCATTCCGAGTGCAGCTTGAAAAAACGAACAAACAGAGTTTGACTTTGCTGTCGCCGTAGTTTTGCGGGGTTGCAGCTGCGCAATCATTCATTCATCATTTGCGTTGTGCCTGGTTTTGCTTTATTTCTCTGTTTTGTGTATGTGCAGATATATTTGCACTTCTTTTCGATACCGAGTGCTCCTTCGTTGACTGCATTTTCTACAAACACCCTGAAGATGCGAGCTCCAGTTTTTCTCTTAACCAAAAGACGAATTCTCTCGCTATTGATCTCGAGACCGTTCCTGACACCTGTCACTCCATCATCCTTGCCGCTGCTGTCTACACAACGGGCATGTCTATCGCGGGTGCGTGTAAAATACAGCTGGTTGCGTGTATCCTGTTGTGTGCGCGTTGTACTGGTGGGTTTGTCAGCGCACTTCCTACGGGCTGTACGGGCGAGCTGCAGTGCAGCTGCAGGCGCTTTAAAGGTGGTGGTAATCGTCAATACATAGAAACATGCGCGGATCCGCTGAGTGAAAAAGAGGCTGATTGTTGCGCATGCTTCCTTGTTTGCTTTCTGTGTTATTGCAGAGCTGGAGGGGGGCGTGATAGAGATATGCGGGGGGTTTATGGGTCCTGTTTTGTTCTCTATTCCCCTTCAATCTCTTCAGCCAAACACAAAAAACGCAGCGGACGCAGCGGGTTTGGTATTTTTCGGTATTTCGGAATTCAACGGCAAATGGAGATGCCGCAGCCTCGAGAAATTTTGCAAGGCTGAACTGCCGTCTTTGATGGAAGTTGCAAAGGCAAGAGAACAAGAAGAAATGATTTTTTTAAATATTCCCCCTCATAATCTCGTTGCTTTAATATTGTTTAATGTCGAACAGCTGCATTTCACTCCGTTGGCTTTCTCTTCTTGTGATTTCATGTGATGCGGACTTAGATTGTATTTTAGGGTTTATGCATTTCGTTCCTGTTGCAATTTCCTGAGCAGCTTTAGTTGTGCACAATGCTTGTTTGCTGGTGAATCTTGGAGCTAGTATCAGTATTACACTTGAATATAGTATATAGTAAGGCGAGAAGAAACAATTATCCAATAACGTGACGTTAATGCATTCCTTTTCTGGTCTGTATTTCTTTCTGAATTGAAGGAGGAGACCCAACAAATAGAAGCGGATTTCGCACTCGGAAATCTGAAGAATTTGCGCACTTTAGACTTTGTAGCGCGAACAAGCGAAGTAAGTGCTGCTTCTTTGAGCAAACTGAACCCATATGTATAATCCATATAATGTACGTATATAAATATATATATATGTATATATACATGTTTTTAATAGTCTAGGCACAGACGGATATGTAGGGGGGCTAAAATGATAATATGTATGAATATATGTATACTTGTGTAAACTTGTGCCCGACATATACATCTCATGTATGCATATGTGTAAAAGAACAGGCACAATTGCATGTTAAGGATTGTGAATGATAATGTACATATATATATATATATATATATATATATATATAACTTGCACATAGACACTTTTATACGCCTGGCGTCTTTAGATTTGCAAACAAATCTTACTGTTATTGCCATTCGGTGGTTTAGATGCTGTTTGTTTCTGTTCTTTGTGTCTTCAGCAAGCTTCATCTGCACTTCATTCAGCGTCAGGAAGAAGCAGCGACGAGGGTAAAAGGAATTTTTCCATTGGTTCCGAAAAACTAGAGAAACTGCAAAGCCGGTTGTCCTCCCTAAGGAGTAGCGGCGACAGCGGGGGAGGTCAGCGACGAAATAATAATAAATAACATATATAGTTGATATAGAATGATAATAAGATACATAATATAGGTGCATAATATAGGTGTATAATATAGGTGCAATATATATATATATATTTGTATGTATTGGTATAGTACATGAGCAGAAGATGCATTCACAGGTAGTTGGCGGGGTGGTACGAAGTGGGAGACACAGTTCCCTCGTGAACTCAGATCTGTATCTTTTGCACAGTTGTGACTGCCCACATATACGTGCAGTCATCCATTTAACATTGCATAAAGTAAGAGGCATGCTCGTTCTTTAGTCGAGGGAAGCCTCTCCCCCTCAGCAGCACACAAACTCATCCGAGAGTTCATGACTAAGTGCATTTGCATTTCAATCGTTGTGCTTGTTTGTATTTGCTTTCTGTGTCCGGTGTTCAATACACCATTTGCAACTCAGGCCCCAAGTTAGAGGCGCGTCTGTCTGCTGTTGAAGACGAGCAGAAACGGTTGTCTCGTCAGCTTAGTCAAATTGAACACAAACTCGATTTGCTTCTAGAGGGGATCAACAGTTAGCCAGGCCCCTAAACTAAACCCGAGCAGCTCAGGCCTGTATCGGCCTGCTGCTGCTGCTGCTGCTGCGCCATCAGCAGCAGTGTATAGCCTGCTGTCATTCACGTCATACACAGCAGCGCTTGCAATACTTTGCTGTTTAATCCCGGAGTTCCCATTGTAAGGGTGTTTGTTGCATGTAATGGAAAGTAGAGGGGACCGACTTTAGAGAAACTGTTCAATAATAAACGGCGTCAAAAGGGCTCGATTGTCCCCATTGTTCTGATTATATCTTGTGTATAATGGGTACACAGACGCGATGGTCTGTAGCAGATGGCTGTAGTTGCCGTGCTGCTAAGCCCTAATTCCTAAACCCTAACCTGCTGCTATAAATATAAAATGCATGTACGTATGAGGTATGTGGCGAAGACACTGAAGTAGTAATGACTCCAAACGCATCTAGATAATAATTAGCATGTGTAAATACGGAAGCAAGAGAGGCAGAAATGCACTAGGGAAGCTCTGCATCACTGTAGTGCCCAACAGAAGAGTTTACGCGCTTTCTTTTTTCTTCTGTTTGCTTCACCTAGCCGTCCCTAAGTAACCCAAAAGAATCCCAGCAGCTCCTCTTGGAGCTGTAGTTGAAAGACCGGAGGCTGTTCATTGTATAATTATTTATCTTTACTTCGTTAATTGTATTTTCATTGGTTTTCTATTCACTCAAGCAAAAGACAAACCCCAGAACAACCAAGCAGGTCCTTCTCGCCCTCCCTGCCCCCCACATAAACACTCAAATGTACAGCATCGTAAATAAATACGCCTGCATGTACATGTACATTTAAATGTAATGTACATTTAGATGTAATATATACACATTTAGGTGTAATATATACATTATATATAATATATACGATATATATTATATACATGTATCATATATATATTATATATATTATATATATGCGTTTAGGTGTATTACATATACAATTAGATGTAGTATACATCTAAATGTAATACACGTATAAATATATTACGCATCTAAATGCAGCATACATTTATATATAATATGCATCTAAATGTAAAATGCATTGATATTATATATACATTTAGATGCAAACATCCCAGCTTAGGACGTCCGGCATTGGTAGGCCTTGTAGAGCGTCTGTTCGTATTCTATATAGAAGTAAAACTAAAAGTGCACGAAATAACAACGTATGGGGGGAGGGGGGAAGCGGTGGTATGTTGAGGTGTATGTACACGAGCCCAACCACCAACCCAAGCGGTATACAGCAGCTCGAGTTAAAAGCCATAGCCCAGAACAGCGCCGCTGTTAGGAATATAGTAATACTCACTCAGCAGCATCGCTAGCACCAGAGTGTAAACAAAAGAAAGAAGAGATCCCATACGCAGCGCCCGCTCCGCCCACACGGCCCTCTTAGAGCCCGAAGGCGCTCCTGAGGCGTGAAAAACAGAAAGAATAAGAAAATTAACACATAAAAGGAAGCAAACTAACAACTGCGCTTCCCCCCTTGCTGCTCATTTTCTAGATGGCCTACAAATGGAAATTCTGCTGTCTTGGCTCTGCCCTTTTTTGTGCGTTGTACAGAGCTTGAGTTACAATAGAATATATTATATATATGTTGTATTGCAGATATATATAAAATTTATACTATTTCTTATTCGATGCATGATATATATTGCATATGTTTATTATATCGATACTATTTCTTATTTGATGCATTCTGTGTTGGTTAGCCTTTACAAGCTTATTGTGATTCATTCTTATTATTGTGTTCTACAAGAAAGGAAACACGCACCTAAAGACAAGCAAAACGCGACGCATCCAAGGGGAGGAAAGAGGAGAGAAAGAAAGACAGAGGCGATGATGTACGGCAGCCAATCTTTACCTGCGTCTCCTGCTTCTGCGTCCTGCAGCACGACAAAGACAAGCATTTTCCTCCGTTCTGCATGTCCTTTGGATCACTTTAAAGAATTTCCGTACATATTATTGCATGCAACAAGCCCCATACAACAACCAGCATCTCTCTTATGTCTCTACTCCCTTACAGAGTCCACAAAAACCTTCGTCTCTGCCTCTTCACCTTCTCCGTCGTCCCACATCTCCTGAACAAACATCGGCAAGGTGGTAGAAAGTAAACAAATACTTTATCATTATTAGTTCCTTCTTTAAAAAAACAAGACAGACGTACACGCCCGTGCGTGCAGCAAAAACAAACGGAATAAACAAGTCAATGCTACCATAAATAGTAGTTATTATTTCTCGTGGTATTACAAGAACAAGGGGAGATTTGACAAGAGAGACTACAGAAACTGACTTTTTTGAGATGTTCCTGTGTATTGTTTTGAGTCGAGGGTTGGCCCGGAACTACGTCTTTTCCCTGGACCATTTTGCCTCCTATAATACTAATAGCAACGAAGCCGCTATAGTGTGTAAGTACAGTTGAGAGCAGCTGATGCAGCTGCCGTCTACATGCAGGACGCCGCGGGGGTCTGTTCGAACCAGCAAAAGAAGCAAATAATAGAGGGGTCGGTTAAAGTCCCGCTAGCCTCTCGGTAACAAGAGGGAGAGAAGAAAGACAGCTTGCGCTTAGCATACAGCAGAAGTGCTGTGAGGAAGGAACCCTGACGACCTGCGAAGACACCTGAACACGCGCCTTCCAGCTGTGTAGATAAGAAAGCCACGGCTGGCGAAGGCGGAGTAGACACAGCTTCTGCTGCTGCTGCTGCTGGTACTGATGCTGCTGCAGTTGCTGCGGGGATATCGCGCCTTAGGCTATGGGCTAGCCCAGTGCGCAAGTCCTCCTAATAACACCAAAAAGAAGATAATGAAGTGATTTTCTGTGCTTGGAACAGAAGACTTCTTCTGATTCAACATAGACGGGACCCTAAACTTGCAAGGAACCTGCAGTACGCAGTGTCGCGACTGCAGTGGGCTATAGATTACGCCTCCTTGATGCGTTCGAGTTCCTCTTGACTTATTTTCTGTCTTCAAAAAAGAAATGAACCCTAATTTACTCACTAAATCACAATGTTTGATTATCAAGAAAAGCTAAGCAGCTAACGGAAACAGCCGGCCGCCCACAGACCTCCGCCCACCAGCCCAGCCCAGGTGCTGCTCTACGAGGCCCCAGTAACTTGAGATAGTTTTCAGGGTATTTCATCTGGTTAAATCGAAAGTGTAATTCACATAAATCTTAAAGAACAAAAATTCAGACTAAAAAAGCGGCCGCTCCAGCATGCAAATTGACAACCCCTGCGTAGTACTAAGCCCATGCTCCCCTTCGCCTCGCACCCCTTCCTCTCCCCTCCTTGAAATCTACTATAGAAGCTCTAACTAAATTTTGCAATATGTCAATTAAAGCAATTAAATGGATTAAAAGAAACTGTGCCGAAAAAAGACAATACAGACTCTCCTACCGCCCCCGCGCAGCCGTGCAGTGCCACCTCTCCAGAAATTCAGTTTGCCCAACTTTTGTTATCTAGAGCTAGAAAATGAGTACAACGCACGTTCGTTGTATATAAAAGTTGGTAGATCTGATTAATATATATATTTATATACTAGGCATTCGCTGCCTGTAGACTGAGGCGTCGAGTACTATTATCACGTTCCTATCCCGCTGCTACTTTACTTAGGTAGTAAGACTTGGTGGCGAAGTAAGTTTAAAGCGTGCTTCAACCTTTGTCTTGTGATGACACTCAAATTCCTTCCCGAACCTCCCCGCGACAGACACACCGACATAGAGCTCGACGCACGGCTCGCGTGTGCCCGTGTCGGTAGCTGTTATGCGAGGGCTTTGATCTACGCTAAGTGTGCTTGTCTGTATAGCAGGAGAGCAGCATAATAATACTACCCCAGCAACGAGGGCAGTTAAATGTCGGTAGTAATCAACACGAGATCGAGACGAAGTCTCAACGGCTATTGAACCGGCCCTTAACTTCCCACTGCCCCCATTCCCATGAACAGAACAAACCAACTCTGCTGCCGCCTCGCAGCGGGCCTGAAGAACGCACCCCCAACTTAACCGCTGGTTCGGTCATAAATGAACAACAACCATCACAACAAGTATTTACACCGTAGACAGCAACCCTCCGGTTTTCAATTAGACGGAGCGCGACGAGTTGTTTGTTTACAGCAAAATAGCTCGCCATACACACTGCAGCGCCCCTCAATTGGCATAATCGAACAACAGCGGCACCGCGGCGTAGCAAAGAAATTCTCCTCCTCCCCCGTTAATATAACTGCACAAACAACTCGCTGCTGCTGCAGCAGCGTAGCTGTTTGTTGCCTGCTCGCTTTCTTCGCTTCATTGGTTAATGTATTGAGAAGCGTCAATCGTTGCAGGCATTTCCGGGATGTGCACCTCAAAACGTGTCTGCACATCGTTCAACACATTCGTGTCTTCTTGACTCGCCACAAACGTCACCGCTAATCCCTTTGTTCCGAAACGGCCAGCGCGGCCAACCCTGAAAAGCGGAAAATAGATTATAGCAACACAACATGATTGGTTCTTTCTCATCTAACAACCCTTAAGCAAGCCCTGTGACTCGTCGCTTTAAAGAAGAGCACCTTCCACTAAAAAAGAAACATGTTGAGGAAACGGTGGTGGAGATCTGCACATAAACCTGAATGCCTATCTGCCGTCCTTTGTCTACAAAAGAAAACTTTCTGCGCCTTTCTTACCTGTGCAGATACGAGTCGCTGCTTTCAGGCATATCGTAGTTTACAACGATGTTGACGCGTTCTATATCAATTCCGCGGCCGAAGAGGTCTGTAGCGACCATAATGCGCTTTTCAAAGTTCTTGAATTGCTGGTAGCGGTTGATCCTGAACACCAGCGCAGGAGCCGTGACGGAAACCTCTAAAAAGCAAGAGGAAAACGCGAGAAACTGATGAACAAACACCCCTTAATTCCGATGTTTCTCCGATTTAAAACAGATTTCCACCCGATTTTTTTTTCAATCACCTTTCTTCCTGATCGAGGCCAGCATGAATGGCGATAGAGGGGAAGTTGCACTCGGTGAGGAGTTTGTTGAGCGCCTGCGCTCTAGAGACGGATTTTACGAAGATAATGACTTGATTGAACTCGAGAGAATCCAATAAATCGTTCAGTCTTCGGTTTTTGTCTGCTTCTGCCAGCTTGACGTAATACTGCAGCAACCCGTGCAGTGTTAGCTTGCTCTCGTCGTCGATGAACACCTCCACTGGATTCTGCATAAACCTCTTGCAAACCGCTCGCATCTCCCGCCCCATCGTGGCCGAGAAGAACATGACTTGTCTGTCAGACGCAGCAGCAGCAACACCATCACCACCAACTGCAGCACCAGCTGCTGCACACCCTGCAGCAGCATCTGCTGCAGCAGCCCAGTCGCCCTAGAAGCCCCGAAGGGTATTGAATAGAGCAGCAAACGCGGCACGAAACAGTTTAAGAACCGAAAAGCGCAGCAAAAATGTTTCCTTAACGACATCATCACCGCTCGACAGCAGAACACAACAGCATCGTGGATAGAAAAGACGCCACCGGCTGACTTCTTCTTTGGCGTGGAGACGAAGATAGACTGTACGTCCTTGCGCATGTCAAGCTTCTCTAGACATTTGTCGCATTCATCAAGGACAAAGTGAGCGATCTTGCTGGGGTCGAGGTGTTTGCCTTTAAGCAGCGCGAGGACTCTGCCTGGAGTACCGATAAGAATGGAAGGAACGCGCTTCGGGTCTGAAAGCAGTTCGATGTTCTTCTGAATAGGTACCCCGCCGTAGACGACTTCACACTTTACGTGCTTTAAGTACTTGCTGAACCTCTCAAACTCATTCTTTATTTGAAACGCCAGCTCACGGGTGTGCGCAAGCCCCAAACACATCACCCCAGGCACCGCGCTGCTGTCTGCAGCAGCAGATGCAGCAGCAGCAACTCCCTCGGCGGCTTCGCCGCCCCCGGGGCGCTTCGCTGTAGCCCCTGCTCCTGCTCCTGCTGCTGCGGAGTCGACGTTCAGCTGCTGCAGGATTGATAAGACAAATACTGCTGTCTTCCCCATGCCGCTCTTCGCCTGACACAAAATATCTACACCGGTAATTGCATGCGGAATCGTCTCGTGCTGCACTTCAGACGGATGTTCAAAGCCTGCAAAAAAGAAACCCAAACAAAACACAAGCACAAACAAATGCAAATAAACGCCACTTATGCTTTCCACAATGCACTACACGCGTATAGCAAACACAGAGGACGACTGCGGACAAACGCAAGAAACAGAGCATAATGAACTCAACAAAACCGAGACGAACAAACAATGAAATCCCATTCGAGCAACAGCTAAACATACACCCAAAAATAATCAAATGAATTCCTACAGACAACCCAAGCAATACGAGACGCAAATAAGCACACCACATACGGAACGCAGCGCATGCTAAACCCTGAAACGCCATTAAGCGTCAACTGACACATATTTTAAAACATAAATAGCGACAAAAAACCCGCATACGCGACTGTTAAGGTATTTATAGATGAAAGCCACTACACCCGCAAACGCCTGTACGCCTGACAGCGAAAGTCTAGTCTACATGAGACATTGCGACGCAGGTAAATACTTGAACTATGTTCATAAGCAGTTGTGTTTATTAGGAGCAATGCTCCCTAAGAAATGTATTTATAAACATTGCCATTTATCCTTCAAAACTCCATCAAATGGTGCTTCTATTTATTTACCTGCGTCCCCGATGGCTCTGAGAAGTTCGGGTTTAAGGAAAAAGTCGCGAAAGCCGCTGGCGTGAATGGAGACGTAATTCCCTCGACCTACTGCTTCCTCCCCCACACCCTTCTCCTGCATGCAAACCCTAAACCCTAAACCCTAAGCCCTAATCCCTGAACACTACACTCTAAGAAGGCACCACCACCATTCTGCGGTAGAGAAGGAGGCCTCACAAAGAACGGCCGCAAAATCGCGAAGCAGCCAAGCAGAAGATGTAAACAAACGAGAAGAAGAAAGCTCTTCCGCATTAACCCATGCTGAAACAACCCCCGATAACAACCTCATACACATGTAGACAATCATCACTTGAGAAACCTCCACCGGGGCCTCCTCATCACTGCCCCCCGCAAAAGCCGAGGATTCTTGGAGCCCACCGATCAATAATAATAAATTGCTGAATACTTTTCTCGAGATGTGCATAAAGTAACAAAAATAACATCAAGAAACACCCGAAAGCCCCACTCCTCCTACGGACGCCTTGCATTATTCCCTTGCGCCCCTTTCCCCCTCATGAAAGCAGTTAGCAATTGAAAGCAAAAAGGAATAAATGCTGTTAAATGGTTCAGAGGATTAAAATGAAGGAAAGAGGGCGGGAAAAGGGCAAAAGAACCCGAGTGGGGGAACCAGCCGCCAAGGAAGTTGCGTTGCGATGGGGGCCGGGGCAGGTTGCCCTGTATTTGAATATTCTCTTTACCTTTGTGTCATTTTGCTGCTCATCTTCCTCATAATCGACCAATTCGTCGGCGGGGTTTTGCTCGAGAGCCGCCATTTTGAACAGGGGAGGTGTCTGAGAAGGAGGTGCTGCTGCTGCTGCTGCCGATCTTGCCGCTGCCTCCTGCGCGGTAAAAAAAGAAAAAAGGCAAAAGTCCTTTCGCAGCGGTTTAAATTCAACTTCTTCTGCTGCTAAGAAATTAAATTTGCGGAAACAACGAACAGATTCAACAAACCCAGACAGGGCCGCCCCGCATGCAGCAACGGCCGCTCAGCCCTCTCTCCCCCCCGTACATTTAACGCCGCAAGCCATGTTGTGGACGTCTGCTACGAGAATTCCCCTCTTTTTAGGCAATTCTTAATTTGAAAATTGCACAGCAAATACGTTTAGTCTCTATTTACCTCATATATTGGCAGAGCTACGAACGCAGCAGAACCCCTCATCCCCACACCTCGTAACGCAACTACTTGCTCTCTTACGAGGACCGTCATGAGCTGCACGAAAGGTCAAATACTTAAACTAAGAATTGCTTAAAGACACTGGAGAGCGTCAGCTTCAGTTTCCATGCTTCGCGGACACAGCAGCTCCACAAAGGCTTAGGAATGTCTAAATACGGAACGGTGGCTGCTTCTCATCATATGCACTACACGTTGTTGTTGCAATTCCCTCTGCATGTTAACTCCATGTGCCTCCATAGCTAGGGGGCCATGTGAGGCAAGTGCTAACACTGCACACAATTGACGAACACAGGCCCTCCCGGCAAACATGAGCTGTAGCACGCACGGTCATACGCAGCGGTTCCTGGTGAGTATGAACCACTTTGTTATTCCAAAACATCGAATCACCTCGTGTAGCGGGAGGCTCATCTAGGGAGAGGTTTACTGAGAGACGTGATTTAGGCTGGGGGCGGGACTACAGATCCGAGCGCGGGAGAAAGCAGGAGTAGTGGTAAGGGAGACGGGGGGGAATGGCGAATGCCGACGTTGCATATTTTTGCCGCTGCAGCTGCCGGCCATCATCCTGAGACGCCTTTGAGGAAGAGCGGCAAGGCAGCTGTTCATGTAAGGCGCTCTTTGCCACGCGCCTATGTTATGAGCTGCTCTTTAATGCACACCTCGTAGCTTGAGCACGAAAAAACAGTGAACCGACGTCGACGCTGAGCATAAGAACGTGCGTGAAAACAGGGTCGATCCACTCGTAGGAAAGGACTCCAGCAACCAAAACTATGAAAAAAAGCGCGAAGGTTGCCCGCTGCGGCGGAGCTAGCCATGGATAGAGGGAGGCGCGCAGCTCACAGCTGAAAAATACTTGGAGAGGCGCAGAAGACAGAAAGAACTGAGGTTCTCTCTTCGCGTTATGCGCGCATAGTAGGCCATCAAAGTGACCGTCCTTCCGGTTTTATTGTTTTGTTTACCTCATCATGGCCCGGTAAAGCATGATCTTTCGTTTTCGCACCTCACCTTGTGGAAAAGATGCTGGAAAGTATAATTGGCTGAGTCCACGCTGTGGCTGAAGAGATGTGAAATCCCTGTGGTTATTCTGTAGCGCTCAACCCATCATCTGTCGTTGAGCATGGAAAGAGATGCAGCCGCGGGAGGATCGAAGGAAGAAGACGAACGCGATTTAGAAAGGAAACGGGAATCATGGCCGATACGCGCAGATGCGACGGAAAGTTCCTGGGAGGTGGGGCGCTGGAAGAGTGCATCAGCGGTCATGTTGGTGACTCCCCTGATATAAATGACTGCGAAGTCGTACTGCGTGGGCTTGCAAAGCCACCAAAAAACTCTTTCGTTATCGAAGTATTCAAAAACTTTTGTCGTTTGTGTCAGGCGTCGATTAGCGGTTGGAACAGTGAAATGCCTGCCACTTAAGCAGTGTCAACCCTCCATTACTCTTCAACAAACAGCGTAAAACTTGATCTGACTGGCCATACATCTGCTCTCTTCCTGTTCACCGATGTGGGTAGTAGGCAATTATTTTAGAGCTTCCGCAAAAATGTGAATGTAAAGGGAAGCGGCCATTGCAGAAACTGCCCCTCTTCAAACTACAGTGCTAATGAGTCCAACGAGAGTCTTCCATATTGGCCGAGGACCATAGTGAGCTCAAGCGAGTCGACATACTTACAGCTTAGAAAAACAGCTGGCCCGATCATTCTTTAGGCGTTCTGGTCGCAGCGGCCCAAGGGGTTGAGGCTGGTGCGGAGACGGGGAATGCCATGAATGGCAGCACGCCTTGCTGCAACTCTCCTTCCAAGGCAACTCCACGCGTACCCAGCTGCAAGGCCATCTTAGTAAATGTAGCGACTCTGTAGACAACTGCAACTTCCTTGGCCCTTAGCAGCTAGCCTGCGCCCCTTTCTTTGCCTGACTTCCACTTGAACCGCCCCGCCCCTGCTGCCACTGTGCCAGCACTGCCCTCGAATCAAGTGTTCAGAGGTATCACCAGTGTAATTTAGTCAAGCGATGCTGTTCTCCCAAGGCTGCTTCCGCTGTGACGGGAGCTGCAGTTTTTGAAGAGCTCCCTGAGGGCCCCCGGGAGGGTTTTTCGGAGGGGCCGTCAGGAGGCTCCCTCGGACGAGCCCCCTGAGGTGGGTGCCTCCGGAGGGTCGTTTTGGTGGCGCTATTCCTACATCAGGGGAAGGTATTTTAGCTGTTGATCAGGAGG